GAGGATGAAGAGGATGAGGATGAGGAGGGGGAAGACAAGGATGAGCCTTCCCTCACCACAGAAGACTTCAGAGACAAGCTTGCGACTCTTCTGTCAAACGCGGGCAGCGGCCAGCGCGCCCCTGTGACCCCCGATGCGCTGTTGAAGGGCATGGCGAACAGTGGGGTGCCTAAGACCCCTCCTGCTTTGCTGGCCGAGTTCGGCACTCCCGTGCCGTCCACACCCTGGCCTCAGGCGCAGGGCAGCTCCAGCGAATCGAGCTCCTCCAGTGAGAGCGAGGATCTGAAGCAACGGCCGAAGGCGGCGAAGCCCATGCGCCTCCCGTCTGGCACAACCGTCAAGATGTTCGAAGAGGGCGATGAAGGCGACCCAGCTGTTCGGGCACCTCGCGCCACGATTCGCGACCTCCCTGAGCCTTGGTTCAGGGTTCAGGGTTCAGGGTTCAGGGTTCAGGGTTTAGGGTTTAGGGTTTAGGGTTTAGGGTTTAGGGTTTAGGGTTTAGGGTGGTTCCCTTACAAAGTAATCAACCAAGAAAAGGGTGCCCGTATTATGATATGGTTACTGGGCTACTAAGGAGCTCAAGCCCTCCATCTTTGGGGAGGACCTGTCTCTGTAGTGGTCATTCGTGCAGAGCCGTTTTTTCTTAAGTCTATTCAAACAAAAGCCTAGTCCGAACAGAGATTCACAGGTTCGATGACAAGATGCAGGGTGTAAGATCCAGCAGAGGACTACGTTTCCATGCTGCCGCTGGTTGCTGGACGCCACTGGGCTTGTCTGATTCAAACAACCTCCAGAACCCCAAATCTCGAAATCCTCAGACCATGAACCCTAAATTCCTAACTCCTCAAACCATGAATCCCACACCCGTTCAGCCTAAAGCCCTACATCCCAACCCGCCTGAATCCTCAGTCTACCAGTCCCCAGAACCAACCAAGCCCTAAGACTCCATGTACCTCTATCGTATATACTTGTGCCCTAAAGTTGCTACGTAGGAGCCCCTTTTACTAAACCCCAAACCCCAAACGGTGGTTTTGGGGCCCTTTGCGAAGGCTACGCGGAGGATGAGGAGGGGGCGGGCCTGGCCCTCAGGGCCTCTGCTTCCTTGCGTTTGAAAGTTCCTCACAGCTTCAGCTTCTCTTGTAGCAATAATCGTCTGTAGGGTTTAGGGTTTAGGGTTTAGGGTTTAGGGTTTAGGGTTTAGGGTTTAGGGTTTAGTTTTTATGGTTCTGGCATAAAAGATGGAAAGCCACGGCCAACCCTGCGAAAGGCCACGCCTGCGACCTCCGCAAAGCCCCTAAATCCTGAAGGCTATGGCGGCTACTTCTCCAAGCCCCCACACATCTTGTACCGGACGCTGTGGCCGGGTGTCGATCGCCCGCCCTACATCGTGGTCATCCCAAGATACCTGGCCTTGAGTTCGTTGCGGGTGGGACGGCCTCGTGTTTAGGGTTTAGGGTCTCCTAGTGCAAACATGACCTTTGTCTTGTTATGGAAGTGTAGTGAGACCAAGATTGCTGGGGTTCGGAAGGGGGAGCCGAAGGCGGTCACGTGATCTTGCCCTCAAGCTGTTTCGGGACCTTTGCTGTTTTCTTCTGGGCCCTAAACCCTAAACCCTAAATCTTAAACCCTAAATCCTAAACCCTAAATTCTAAACCCTAAACCCTAAAGCGTGGTCGCAACGTTTGGGAGGGACCGAAGATGCCAAGGCTATGGACGGCCGCAGAGGCTATGCCAGGAGATGGGTTCTGTATGGGGTCTCCGCAAATAGGGGTACCCTTTTGGGGTCCCTTGAGGGGATTTTATTCTATTTAGGGTCTCATGACCAAGGTGTCACCACATAACAGTGGTTGAACCTTATGCAGCAAACCCAAACCCCCAGAATAAGACCACAAAAAGAAAAAGAAAGGTCTTCGAGAACCTTTCTGTCCCAAGACGCCTTGGAGATCACTGATTTTGACTTCGCCGCCCTTAAGAAGACAAAGGTCCAAGCCACCTAAACCCTAAACCCTAAACCCTAAACCCTAAACCCTAAACCCTAAACCCTAAACCCTAAACCGCCTGAGTTCTGCACATGAGTCAGCGAAGCAGGGGGCAGAGACCCTAAGAGTCCAGGTAGGGATCTATTGGATTTATGTCGTGACTTGTAGGGGCCCAGGTTGTACACTTTTTGGGACTCTTAGGGAAATAAAGCCTACAAACCCCTAAGCCCCCAACCCTTCGCACGCGCTGCCCTCAGATCATGCAGCAGGAGCCCAGCCCTAAACCCTAAACCCTAAACCCTAAACCCTAAACCCTAAACCCTAAACCCTAAACCCTAGGAGACCCTTGCTCTTCTTTTGCGGCAACAGATCCCAGAGCAGCTCATCGAGGTCGGGAACGTGCGGGGGGCTTTGGGGTGGTTTTCGGCTCGGGGTTTAGGGTTTAGGGTTTAGGGTTTAGGGTTTAGGGTTTAGGGTTTAGGGTTTAGGGTTTAGGGCTTAGGGTTTAGGGTTTAGGGTTTAGGGTTTAGGGTTATAGACTTCAGTTCAGCTAGGTGGAAAGCAAGAAAACGAACCCAAAGAAGCTGCACACTTAAATCCTTAGACCCCAAAATCCCTACACCCCAAACCCTAAAACCTAAACCCCTAAACCCCAAACCCTAACCCCCCCAACCCCCCCACCCCTAAACCCTAAACCCTAAACCCTAAACCCTAAACCCTAAACCCTAAACCCTAAACCCTAAACCCTAAACCCTAAACCCTAAACCCTAAACCCTAAACCCTAAACCCTAAACCTACACCCCAAACCTGAAGAAGGTATGGGTCGCTCCGGGCTTTGCCCCAGAGCAGCAGGAGCGGTGGGGGGATGGCACCTTACTTGCAGTGCTGTAGAGTTTAGGGTTTAGACCCTTGTAGGGTACTTATAGCCCTACCTATGCCCTGCACATGAGCCTCCTAAATAGGGACGATATAAGGTGTATATAGGTGACGAAGATTGTACCCCTTACTTCAGCTTACCCATGAACCTCCAAGTAGGAGCCAGAAGAGCCCCTAAACCCGAAACCCGAAACCCTAAAGCCTAAATACCCAACCCGCTCCAAGTAGGAGCCAGAAGAGAGCCGGTACAAGTACGCCCTGAAGGGCTGGCCCTTGATCAAGGTGAAGCAGGGTGTGCTTGGGACGAAGCTTGGTAGCCCAGCTTGGTACCTTTTTACACGAGTTTTAGGGTTTAGGGTGTAGGGTTTCGGGTTTGGGTTTCGGGTTCTAGGGTTTAGGGGTTTAGGGTCTCTAGGGTTTAGAGTTTATGTAGGGTTTATTAAAGCAACCCAAACCCAAACAGGGTGTTCTGATTAGAAGATGGTTACTGGGCTACCAAGGCAGGAGCAGAGAGACTTCATCAGTAAGTACCATCCTGAAGGAACTCACATTGTGTCCTTTGACGATGACGTCCCGGAGATGTTCTGCAAGATTAAGGACGGCACAACTCAGGACACCCTCCAGCCGCTTCCATCAGGATCCTTGGAATGTCTGATTCACCACGCCCGCGACCTGATGCACGAACAGGGGGCATCTTTGTCATAGTTGGCTAGCATTTTACATTTTTCAGGGTACTTGAACCCAATAAGGAATATAAATTATTATTACTCGTTTCATCACCACCCATTTTAGATTATTAAGATGATTATTAGTATTATGATTATTACTATTATTATTATTGTTATTTGTTTTTTAGTATTATCCCAACAATGAACAAGGCATATCTATGGGGGCTGAGCCCCAGCCACAACCCAATGAATATGCGGCGGACACATATCTCAAGAAGGAATGGCATGGTCAACGGGTTTGCCTACGGCTACCTGAGCCGAGGCTGTTCAGTGGTATGCTTTACTTTTACTTTTTGGGGCTTGTGGGTTCCCTGTGTTAGGGAAGTAGCCCAAAAAGAAGTATGTACTCCCCTAAACCCTAAAACCTAAACCCTAAACCCTCTTCTTCTCCCTGGGTCACTGCAAAACCTTAGGAACCGGCACAGCAATGAGTTCCGATCCGTCTATGGCTCGCCCACCGAGGATGTGGAGCGCTCCTGTAGGTTGGTCCAGGGTTTAGGGTTTAGGGTTTAGGGTTTGGGGTTGAGATCGGGGGTTTCAGTAGGGTTTCGGAGTTACTACTATTTGGTTATGAACCCCCCAAAAAAACAATAGAAGGTAACATACCCTATGCTTCCCTTATAATAAAGAAGAGTCTCTTTTGGAGGGGTTCTTAGGCAAAAAAGTAGTTTAGGGTATTTGCGGTTAGGCTTTGGCGGGCACTCAGGGCTTTGGGCGTTCCACTTACCCTAGACCCTAGACCCATCTAGACCCTAAACCCTATAGACCCTAGACTTCAGGGGGCAAGTTGGGTCATTTAGGCCTTTCAGGGGCACTCGCATTGGTGATTTGATGATGTTCGATGCACCGTCGGGTTTGGCGATTTGTAAAAGCAGCCCATAGAACGTGGAATCTGGACGTCGTACATATATTTATATATATATATAGAGAGAGAGAGATAGATATATCGTGTTACAGAAGTTAACTAATCAATGAATACTTATGCTTGTATATTTGTATACTGAAATACCTACTTACGTATGTACTTTCTTATACTCATGTACTTATGGACGACGTTTTCGTATTAAGTATTGTACTTCATGCCTTAAATACGGTCTTACATACTTTTGCTGTATACTAAATCAAGCACATGATATGTTGTACCATACTTGTTATCTATACACACATTCTGAAACTTGAGCCCTCAACCAAACCAAAACCCTAAGCTCTAAGCCCTGAACCCTGGACCTGAAACCGCAACCTTGAACCCCAAATAAAACCGAAACCCGAAACCCTCAACCTTCAACCCTAAGCCCTCCCGACTTGTCCCTGCAGAGTGGCCCTCTGGGCTCAGCTAGGCGGGAACCCTAAACCCTAAACCCTAAACCCTAAACCCTGAAGGTTCTTCAACGCCGACGGCATTGTGCTGAGATATGCGATGTACAGCGCCCGGACGGAGTTCAAAGCAGCAGGAGGCATAAACTTCCTTTACAAAGGCGCATCCGACACCCGGAGTTGCTACTTTACGAATTTTTTGGGGGGCCTGTAGGGTTTAGGGTTTAGGGTTTAGGGTTTAGGGTTTAGGGTTTAGGGTTTAGGGTCTAGGGTCTAGGGTCTAGGGTCTATAGGGCATAGGTACTAGGGGTTTTGATTCGGTCAGTTTTTTTTGTTGCGGCCACCGCAAGCTGCATGTTTGTAATAATTCCGAAACCCTGGGAGCCTGCTGTTGCAGAGAGTGCTTGCCGAAACCCTAAACCTTAAACCCCAAACCCTAAACCCTAAACCCTAAACCCCATTGCCAAGCAGCTGAAGGAAAGGAAAGCGCATGAAGAGGAGGCCATCCGGCGCATCTCAGAGTCCTTCCCGCAACTGCTGGAGGTGCGAACAGGCAGCCGCCGTCGCAAGACAGCCCAGGCAGCGAACGGCGAAGCAGAGCCCTGGGTTTAGGGTTTAGGGTTTAGGGTTCAGGGTTTAGGGTTTAGGGTTTAGGGTTTAGGGTTTAGGGTTTAGGGGTGGCTGAGAAGTTGGCACCTGACAGTTCGAGTCAAGCAGTTCGCAAACGTGGAAGGTCTTGAAAATAATGCAGTTGGGGAGTGGGGGCAGGTTGGAGTTTCGGGTGTGCTTTCGGATTCAGGTTCTTACCGTTTTCGGTGTTCCTAGCCCTAAACAACCCCCCCAAACAGCCCTGATGCCTGGGAGGCCCAGAACTTCATGTTCCGGAGCTTTGGCCATAGCCCCATCTTGTCCAATGGGGTGCCGGTACCATGCGCTGCACTGCTCCTCACCTTGAGACTTAGGGTTTAGGGTTTAGGGCTTGGCATGAAGCGGCTTCTAGGTTCAAAGGGTTTAGGGTTTCGGGTTTAGGGTTTAGGGTTACCTGGGTAAGTTTGGGGCCTTAGGGTGCTTCGGGCTTGTCAACCCCCAAGAAGGACCTTGGGAGACTTCCCTTGACGCATCGTAACATCCAGACGCCGAACCCCTGGTGCCCGAAAGCCATCCACCTCCCCGACGTCGCAAGTAAGTCCTACTGGGAGGTTCATGGTACTTATTAAGCAACTAGAAGTGTACCTATATGACCCACTTCTGAGCCCTTAAGTGCCCTAATATGGCTACAAGTACAGTTGCAAGTACAGTTTTAAGTGGTCAGCAAGTACCATGAACCTCCAAGTACTACGCAACTTAAGCGTCACCAAGCCCGAACATTTCTCAACGACAACCGGCTCCAGCCTCAAAGCCAAACCACGCATAAGCAAACAGCACCCATATCCCACACCACGTACAGAAGAATAGGACAGAATGCCAAACCCTAAACCCTAAACCCTAAACCCTACTCCAGTCTCAAACCCCGTTAAGCTACGCTTCTCTCCAAGGTTCCTCGGTAGGCCCTTGGGACATCTCATATCTCCCCTTTGTGGGTTTAAGAGGCTCACATTCACCGCTATTTGCTTAAGAGCGCCCCCCCCCCCCCCCCCCCCCCCCCCCCCTCCAAAGAATCAAGAGACATAATCCCTATATTTCCCTTGTTACCCCCCCCCCCCCCCCAGTGACCTACCCTTTTTCGCCTTGTCTCAAGTCACCCAGCTGCACTGCAAGCAAACTCGGTGTGCAACATAGCGTGTTTCCTAAGGCGTAGACGAAAATACAACTAAAATCGCATACACGGGACAGTAGAAAAACCAAAAACACCAAAACCAAAAAACACAAAAAAAAAAAAAAAAAAAAAAAAAAAAAAAACAACCAAAACAAAAAAACAAAAATCCGGAACCGGAACTCTCAGAAATCCCTATGAGGATTCTCCAAGAGTCCTGGAAAATTGGTTTTTGTTGGTTCTTTTTTTTTTTTTTTTTTTTGGTTTTTGTTTTTTTGGTTGTTTTGGTTTTGGTGTTTTTGTTTTTTTTGGTTTTGGTATTTTGGCTTTTTGGTTCGCCTTCACGGTCACCGAAGCAACAACTACGCATTTTGAAGTGTGCTTATGCTAATTGTGCTTTTCAGAAATAGTCTACAAGTGGTCTTTCTAGTGCTTCAGAACTATTTGTTTCGTTATTATGTAAGTAGAACCGCTTCGCTTCTTTTTCAACTCGTGTTTGGTGCATCTTTTGGATGTACTCAAGTGTAGTAGACCTTATTCAGCCATTACTTGGTGCTCTGGTAGCTAAATTCGCATGGATACTAGTTGCCTGGTAAAAGCGATTAATTATCTAGAAGCAGCATTTGCAATACTTGTCTTGAGAAAAAGCATTTATTGCTTAAAATTGTTTGCTTAAAAAGTACCTCCTACTCGTCCAGGGATACCCCAAAACCCTATAATCCAAACTTCACCAGAGATTCTCCTGACTAGCTTGCGCTTTTGGATGTTTTTTTGTATTTGTGAATTTGCTTGTGTATGGCCTTCACTAAGTACTTTTCTAGGATTCTTGTGCATTTTTTAGGCCTGATTGTGCAAGTTGTGTTTTTCAAACATAGTCTTTCTTAAATACTTCAGACATCTTTGTTTCATCGTTAGGTAAGTAGAACCGCTTCTATTTCCATTGTTGTGCATTTTTAAGCTTGCTTATGCAAATTGTGCTTTTCAGACATAGTATATAAGTGGTCTTTATTGAATACTTCAGCAATCTTTGTTTCATTGTTATGTAGGTAGAACCGCTTCAATTTCCGTTAGTGTTTATTTCGTATTTGGTTGAGTATGGTCCTTTAAATTGTATTCACTTGAGTCAAATTGGGCTATTTGCTTAAAAATTACTCTAGCAGTTAAATTCGCATAGAATGATTTCAAAAAAAAATGTTTCATGAATATGTAAACATAAGGTATTTCAGTGGACTTTGCAGATAGTATTTCAATAATACTCTGCCTGGTATAAACACAACTGTTTCAATGCATTAGTTGCTCAACAAAGCACTATTTGCCCTTTAAACCACACTTTGCCATATTTTGGTTGAATATGATGCTTATTTCGTATTTTGGTTGAGTATGGTCCTTTAAATGGTATTCACTTGAGTCAAATTGGGCTATTTGCCTAGCAATTACTCTAGTACCTAAATACGCATAGATTAGTTCACAAATAAAAAAACTTCATGAATATGTAAACATAAGGTATTTCAGTGGACTTTTCAGATAGTATTTGATTCATACTTTGCCTAGTACAAACACAATTGTATAAATGCTGTAGTTGCTCAACAAAGCATTATTTGCCCTTTAAACGCACACTTTGCCATATTTTGGTTGAGAATGGTGTCTATTTCGTATCTTGGTTGAGTATGCTCCCTTAAATAGTATTCACTTGAGTCAAATTGGGCTCTTTGCTTAATAAATACTCTAGTAGTTAAATTCGCATGGAATCAAGAAAAATGTTTCACTATTTGATTAATGCTTTGCCTCGTGCAAACACAACTGTATAAATAAATCAGTTGCTCAACAAAACATTAAATGCCCTTTAAACGCACAATTTGCATAGAACAAACACAGATCTAGACATCTAAAAACAGCATTGTCCGCTTCAGATTCAAAATGTAGATTAATCCAATGCCGGTTTTATCGGGGTCTGTGAGGTTGGTGTCCCAGTAACTGTCCTTCATTACCCGGTGATTAGCTACGCTGCTTTGGGCCTTCGTTGTTATATTTTTTGTTAACAAGGCCTAAAAAGGCCTAAAAAGGGTAGGTCGCTGGGGGGGGGGGGTAGCATTTCTCTTATAAGGAAGAATACGTTTTCAATAGAAATACAAAAAACAATAATCCCTATATTACCCTTATAAGGAAGAATTACTTTTTAGTTTTTAGTGGTTCTTAAGCAATATTGATATATCAGGAGTATGTTTTCCAGAGGGTTCTGAGGGCCATCCTTTGGTGAGCCCCCCGTAAACAAGCAGTCCTTAAGAGGGGGGTTTAGGGTTTAGGGTTTAGGGTTTAGGAGGGAGGGATTCAAGTACCCCCGACTATAATCCCCATGAAGGACTGTTAGTATAAAGAGGGACATCCCAACCTCAAGTCTGAGAGCCCTAAACCCCAAACCCTAAACCCTATACCCTAAACCCTAAACCCTAAACCCTAAACCCTAAACCCTAAACCCTAAACCCTAAACCCTAAACCCTAAACCCTAAACCCTAAACCCTAAACCCTAAACCCTAACCTCCCGAAAGGTTCTCGGAGGCGCGCTGGAGGCCGGCGGAAGAGGCCGAGGCTGACGAGGAGAGGGAGCCAGCGGAGTCGGCGGTGCAGGTTGTGACCCCTGAGGCTGCTCTTTTTGGGGGTGAGAGTTGGGGGTTTAGGGTTTAGGGTTTAGGGTTTAGGGTTTAGGGTTTAGGGTTTAGGGGGTTCAGGGAGTTTAGGGTTTAGGGTTTCGGTTTAGGGGGTTTAATTAGGGAGTTTAGGGTTTAGGGGGTTTAGGAGGTTTCCCGAGACACTTAAGGCTGAAATGGAGGAATGGATGGGGGGGGGGGGGGGGACTGCCACATCCTGAAAGGGGATGCAGTGACGAAACAATCCAAACCATAAGTGCGAAACAGGAGCATGAAGGGTTTAGGCGGTTTAGGGTTTAGGGTGCAGGGTGCAGGGTTTTTAGGGTTTAGGGATCCGGTCACGACCCCTGCATTCTTCAAAGGGCCCAAATTCAAGGTGCAAGGTTTTCAGGTGTTCTAGGGTTTAGGGTAGCCTGTAGCTGAGGAAAAGGTGCACCGTAAACCGAAGGGCATGCCACCCACAGAGAAGAAATCTTCACGAGGACGAGGTACAAGTCAGCAGGGCTTTGACCCCCGAATTTTTTGCATGGAAACAACCCTAAACCCTAAACCCTAAACCCCATACTACACAGAAGCTATTGAACCTTTTCAGGCACTGCACGCTGCCTTCGGCGCTGAGATATCAGACGCGCCGGCGCCAGCAGCACCCTTTTTACCTGTTGAAATTCTGACATTAGGGTTTAGGGTTTAGGGTTTAGGGTTCTTGAATTAAGCTTAAAACTCTTGCCCTTGTGTATGCCAGTATATGCCTATATGAAATCTGGGTTCTTGTTGGTGCTTCCGCCATAGAGAGGGTTGTGTTCCTAAAGCCTAACCATCAGACTTGGCACGCCCTCATGAAACAGATATGGCGATTCTTGCTGCTTCTTCGTAGGGAATGAGGGAGTGAGGTACCCGATATCCCCCTGCATGTATCCCCTAAAGGATTCTATAGGGCACCTCATTTCCCCAAACCATAAACCCTAAACCCTATAAACCCTAAACCCTAAACCCTAAACGCTTCATTCCCTACGAAGAACCAGGGGCTCTTTGGCGACCCAGGATGTGGGTTCAGGGCGAGTGGCGCGCAATGATGGACGCGACACCACTATTGTGGACGCTCGCTGGCCTAGCGTATATGCATGGGAGCTTGCGTCTAAACCCTGAACTCAGGGGTTTAGGGTTTAGGGTTTAGGGTTCAGGGTTTAGGGTTTAGGGTCTCAACACTGCAGAAGCCTCACGCCCCAAGCCTGTTGTCAACCTAGAAGCTCGACATCATAGGACGGCTGATGCCCGAGCCCCCGACCTACTCTACGAATTGCTCAAGAACCCCGAAAGAATGAAAAAATATCCTTCCTTATTAAGGGCAATATAGGGATTATATTGTTTTTTGTTCTTTTGGGTTCTTAAGCATATAGTCCATAACCACTCGCTTCTTCACCGGCCTACTGAGCCAAAGAGCCCTGTAACGCATCAGCCAAAATGGTTGCCAACACTCTCCCCTCATAATTCCTACATGACTGTACCATAACTACCTAGAGCACCCATTCTAATTCCACAGGCCCCCGAAGTCGTAGTTCTACCCACGGCCT